GAGTCACTATCAGGGACTGGGGTGGCCTTAGACAGAGCCAGACAGCGAGTGCCCTGCAGCCCCAACCCCCGGGGGCTGGATGATACATCAAACCCAGCAAGCTCACCATGCGTCTGCTAAGAGAATCTCTAAGCCACGGAACTTGCCCAAAACTCAGTGTGCTTTCAGGGAAAATATGGATAACAAGACTTATTTTCCTAGGGATGTTGTAAGAATGGACTGAGTACTTCTTGATGAAGGGATTTAAGCCACAAAGCACTCAACCTGGAGCCCTCACACAGGAGGAAATGGCAGTGATGACTTTGATTACATGAAGCAGTTACACTTCTGCGGAGCACTGGACAGTGGGACTTGGTCTTTGGTTTCTGTCTTTGACTCTCATTACTTGGTCATCGCATCTGTGTTTTTGAATTATGCCTTCTCGAATCTTCGCGTTGGAAGCAGGAGTACCAGTCAACATGAAGTCATCTCAGTTTTGCAGGTGCAGCAGACCAATCCTTGACATTCTGTGTCAGACCCACATTTTCTGTTCTTCACACACTGTTACTCTGCGACACCCCTTCCCCGAGCCGCAGCGGAGCTTCCTGGGCTCCCTGCTCCAGCCAGGGAGGACGGGTGGAGTAAGCCAGCTTCCTGTTGCTGAGATGCAAACACTGAGATCTGTGCGTAAACCACAGATGTAGAAGGATGAGTGAAGGTTCAGAGCCGTTGGTCCCAGCCCAGAGCAAATGCTGGCTCTCTGGGTAGAGCGGACGCAGAGCGGACACAGAGCGGAGCTCAGATGCGTGGGGGCCTCGGGGAGGGCTCGGGCCCACGCTGCTCCAGGACAAGCTGGCCAGGTAGGTGCACGGCAGCCTCCCTTGGTGGCCAGCATGGAACGGTGATGGCAGCTGCCGTGCTCAAGGAGATGTGGGGGCTTCCAGAGGCGCCATCCTCTCCAGTGTGGTGGGCGCAGCCCAGGGTCTTCTCATGTGGCACAGATGTGACCCCACATGAGTGAACAGGCCACGTGGCAGGTCTGAGCACCCGTGGAGGACCTGTGCTGGAACCTAAACAGGACCCTGGGTTCTCGGCAGGTGACGCTGTGGGCTGAAGCTAGCAGGTCACCTGCGAGTGCCCAGAAGAGTCCCTCGGGGGACACCTTGGCTGGCAAGGTGAGCGGATCCCCATGGCTCTGGGGCAGACATGGCGACGCTCTCATTGCCGTCTTCCTGGTTGGCTCAGAACTCCAGAGGCGGCTTGGCCGAGGTGGGCACGTGCTCTGAGATGGCCCCGCGAGGGTCCTGGAAAGTGCTCCTACCCAGGGCCTGGAGAGAGGTTTCTCTCTTTCCCTTTCACAGACCCACTGAAGCTCACAGCTGCCAGCAGCCACCTTCAGGTCATGCCGTGAGCTTCCCCGGGGGAGAGGCTGGGGCCGGTGGAACTCCAGGGGAGGAGAACTGCACCCCGTCTTTCATCTCCCTGCCTGATATGCAGGATGAGACATTTTCTCCTTGTCTATTCCAGCTCCATCTGGGCTTTCTACTTGTAGTTTACCTCCATTTGGCTGGTGGTAACAATTCTACTTGTGTCACGTAGTTTAAGGAGATGCCTATTGTGATGCTGAAATTCAATTTTATCCTGTAGATGAGGTAATTGAACTGCTGTTATTGTCTCTAGATGATAATGATAAGTTCTTATTAACAGAATCTATGAATACTTGTGGCAAAGAACTGATCTATCCTTAAGATGTACAAAAACATATAGAATATTTAAAATTTCTAAATTTGTGTCTATATATACAACTGCTATTGTCTCTATAATTGGTCCTGATTGTGATCCTGAAAGTCACAATCCCAAATAGTATAATCCTGGTTGTTCAAACCCCCAACGGTCAAAATCTCCAAGATCAAAACCCTCCAAAATTCTAACACCAAAGATTAAAATCCGGAGTGCGGAAACCCGGAAAGCCACCATCTCTATTGAAAGAGAAGGCTGTGTAAGGGGCAAGGTTCTGCGGAGGGACCGGTGTGTTTTCAGCTGTGGGTGGTGAAGTCTCTCAGGAGGACCTGTAGCCTGGTGTAGCACTGCCCTGGGTGCCCGGCAAGGGAGAGGTTTCCTGACATTACCAGGGAACTGGGAGTCCAGGTAGGGATTCCCTCTTAAAGGTAAATAAGCATCTTTTCAAGAACTTTTAAGGCACCTTTCCAGAGTTTTGTTTTAGGGACTTCTGTCTTTCAAGATTTTAAATGTCAGGGAGTTCAATCTTGCAATTGCAACATCTGCGACGATGGCATTTTGGGTTGTATGTTTTAGGGTCAGGACCACGGCCCTGGGTAACTCATCACCAGGAAACTGCAGCCGTTCCGGGTCTGCTGTTTGGGTCAATGGATGGAGCTGGAATGAATGTCAGACACTTAGTGAAGAACAAAAACAAGCAACAGAATACCCTGGTGCTTCTATGCATTTTTATTTTGAAGAATTCTGCCAGCGTGTCCAGCAATGTCCTTTTCCTGTTTTGGGATCAAGCCCAGGGTGTGACATTACGTGGTCACTTTCCTCCCACCTGGCAGGTGTTTTGGCTTCTCCTTGTCTTTGGCGATCTTGATACTTCTGAGGCACGTTGGCCAGGTATCCTGTAGAAGACCTCAGGCTTTGGGGCTGTCTGAGCTCCTCCTCTGGCTTTGCCTGGGGTCCTGAGTACGGAAGAAGAAGCCCCATCCTTGTGGCCACTGTCCGGTCCTCACCATCGATGTGAGTCCGCGGTCTGGTCTTCCAGCTGTGGCCGCTTGATGAGACGGTGTCTCCAGGCCTCTGCACAGCCCACTTGCGGAGTTCTCTTGACCAGATTTTACTCATTGTAAATCCCGAAGTCTGAGCTACTCCCAGAGAAGGCAGTAAGCTCTGATCCCGGTAGAGGAAGGAAGAACATCAGAGACAGCACACATGCCCTGTCCCTGTGGTGTTAGTGAGGATTTGGGGGTATGTGGAGCCCGGGTGGGGTGTCCTCCTGGTGGCCTCTGAGCCTGGGTCCTCCCTCGCTCCCGAGTCATCCACTGTCCTCTCATCCTCGCCCTCCTCTCTGTCCTGTGCCAGGACAGTGGCTGTGCTCTGGGAGCCCGTGGGAGGCCCGGGACAGGACACTCCCTGCTCCCCTCTGTGCAGCCACCTCAGGCTCCTGTGTCCCGGAGGGAAGGAAGACGTGGGCTCCACAGGACCCACTTCCCTCTCCTGACGTCCTCCTTGCCTGCCTGACCTGAATACCGGTGCCCTGGAGGACGCTTTCCTCGGGTTAGTTGGATGTGCTAGGAGCCTCCTGACTTAGGTGATGACCATAGCTTCTGACGTGATCTTTTTTCATGAATTCCTGTCTTAAAAACTTTCAAATTGGGTTTTCACTTCTCACAAGCAAAATCACACTCCTCAAAGTTTACAATGCAAAAGCAAGCTAGCTTTTATTTTAATTCATTATGTGTGTGTGTGTGTGTGTGTGTGTATATA